CAAGGTGTAGAGCTGGATGAACACAGCAGGCCAAGCAGCATCATTTGGCCTGCTGTGTTCATCCAGCCCTGCACCTTGTTGTCTCGGATTCTCCAGCATCTGCAGTTCCTACTATCTCTCATTTCAGCCTGTTCCTGTTCCAATTAACTTCTTTTTTCCTATCATGACTATTTTCTCTCCCCCAAACTAATTTCTTCCCATATACATTCATGATTCTTCTGATGCTTTATGTCTTTTCCAGTTTCCTGGCACCAAACATCTCCTGTTCACTATGAACATGCAGTTGTTCTACAGCTGCATCCCCCATCAGAATGGTCTAAAGGATCTCTACTTCTTCTCAGAAGAAAGTCTGAACAATCACTATTTCCACCCTCCTTCAGTTAGCTGAGTTCGTTCTCACTTTCAACAATTTCTCCTTTAACTTGTTTAATTTTCTCCAAATGAAAGTGTAGCTATGGGTACCCACACAGGTCCCAGTTATGTCATTATGCCTGTCACTGTGCGTGGTGAAACAGTCTTTTACTTGTACTTCTTTCAATGTAGTCTACTGTGCTCACTGCTCACCACCTGTCCCACTTATCCTTCCTTTCCTTTTGTCAACAGCATAAAAGGCATCATTTTACAGCTCACTTCAGTTCTGCAAAGGATGTCATATTGGACTCAAAACATAAATTTTGTTACTCTGTCCACACATACTGCCAGACCTCCAGAGTTTCTCCATTACTTTCTCTCAGTTCAGATCTCCAATATCCTCAATACTTTGCTTTTATTTAAAAGGTAATTCTTTCCTATAATTTCTCAACCAGCTCATCAAGGCATATCACATCTATAAACCAAATAGAAGTTCAGATTCTGTGATTCAGATTTGCCTCCAGGAGGCCAAAGAAGCAGTTACAGAAGTTTGGTATCAGTGCCTATTTCAGCATTCATTGCATCCCTGCAGTACTAATTCTGTCTCAACTGTCATCCAAATGTGCACTTCCAACAAACATGACTAAATAGCAATCACCACCACCTTGATAGCAGTTAGGTTGTGAGTTCAATCTGACCTAGATCATAGAATCCCTAAAGTGTGGAAACAGGCCCTTCAGCCCAACAAGTCCACACCGACTCTCAGAGCATCTCACCCAGACCCATCCCCCTAATCTACACATCCATGAACACTACAGACAACTTAGCATGGCCAATCCACCTAGCCTGCACATCTTTGGATGTGGGAGGAAACCGGAGCACCTGGAGGAAACCCACGCAGACACGGGGAGAATGTGCAAACTCCACACAGACAGTCACCCAAGGGTGGAATCAAATCCAGGTTCCTGGCGCTGTGAGGCAGCAGTGCTAACCACTGAGCCAACGTGCTGCCCTTATCACATTGTTATTTGCCAGGTCTGCATACAGTAGGACAACAACTACACATAAAAGAAATAAATACTACATTGGTTCAAAAGTACGCCTAGCCATTCATTCTTTCCTTCCATCTCTCTCTTGTCACCCGCTTTTGTCTTGTCCCTGACCTTTTCCTTCCCTCCTTCACCCTCTTGGTGCCCTCATTTTCCTTCCTCTCTCCTTCCTCATTCTTTTTTCCCTTCCTTCCTTTTGAAATTCGTAAATTTATTTTCAAATCATGACATTGAAATGTTACTCGACAAGGATGATTCTGGAATTAATTAAAATTATTTATCACTGTCATAGCAATGACTTAAAGGTTCATATTAGTATTTTAAAGCAAAGGGTGATTCCCAAAATCACTTTGTTGTGATGTAGTGAACAGTGTCAAAACAGTGTCAGAACAGGAGATGAATAGACTAGTAGTAGAGAATTGGAATATTGCTGAAAAAGAAAGGTATTGCTGAAAGAGAAGTGCTGCTGATGCTTTTTGTTTTACACTCATCAGGACAAACACAAGAATGCCAAATGTCAGACAATCACAATATTTTGTAATACAGGAAAAATGGATGATAATTAGTAGGCAGGTTGACTTTAATTGGCCAAAATATTGTCATGGAAAAAAACAACAGGGAACTGTAGTGAATCTGAGTAATGAAAGAAAAGGCGCAGGTATTAAATGTATTCTATTTGTTTGCAGAAAATGGGTTCCTGCATAAGAATGTGTGTCATTCCTAGTAAATGTAAATTAACCATGTTTGCTGCTCGATGGATTAATATACTTTCTTGTTCATATAGCTAATAGTACACTCAGGATTGTTTGGCAATTAATATCCAATCATAGAGTGCATCTAACAGTAAGTGTTTTGAAAACAACAAATGCTGGAGATTGCAGCGGGTGAGGCAGCATCCATGGAGAGAGAGCAAGCTAACATTTCAAGTCTAGATGACTGTTTTGGGTTTTCATTGTACCACACATACTGTTCTGCTGAGATAGAAGGACAGGTGCTTGCTAAATATTCTGGGTGGATATTGTCTCCTGGGAAGAACTGTACTCCTCCTCCTTCTCTGCTCTCTTCCTGAAGCTTGTTTTACTCTGTGTTTCCTCTGCTCGTTCTCCCTGCCATGCTTCAGGTCAGGGTGGAATAGAAACTGCAGCAACCAAAACAAATGGTCCAAGCAGACCTCTTGAATCCCTTCACAACTTGTCACTTCATGTACACTTCAGCAACTTCAGCAGGAGTACAAGTATTCGAACACTTCTACTACCTTAAAATTAAACTGGTCAGTCAGCAAGTATTCTGAATTTTATTAATGATCTCTTTAGTTAGCACTGCTATCAAGTCCTTTTTTATTCTGTGGAAGGCGTGTTGATCTGTATGAAGTAAAGAGAAGACATTTACTGGAGTGTTCAGGTCAAAATCACGCAAATAGAGCCAAATTTCATGATTTGTCCACTCTGCAGATTTCCACCCCTTACTCCAAATGCTGCATTAACAACCTACTCAAGATGGTATCCAGCACAGTCGGCACTAAAATAATGCACTTGTAGAATTTTAGGCTTAAAACAGCTGAACATACAAGCCATACCTAACCAACTTTAGTGACAGCAGAGTTGCAAGAACATAGAAAAGTTCTGTTCTGGCTGTTTGAATCAGCTGTACTACGACTCCCGCTCACATGGTCTTTCTCCATATGGGGCATTTGTGGGTTTTTTTAAGGATATACCCAATTCGCTTTTGAAAAATATTGAATCTGCTTCCATCACTCTCTCAGACAGTGCATTCTGGCGCATATCAAATAGGCCGCTTTTAAAATCTCCCAATCTCTCCTCTGGTATAATTTTTTGTGGGTGTTTTCTCCCATATACAAACACTTAGATGAATAAAAAAAACAAAAACAATGAAATTTAGGAGATTTGATTCCAAGCTGTCTGTTCAAAAGAATCAAAAAAAAGGAACAAACAGGTAAACTACAGAGTAATTTTGTGCAGTGTTTATAACTTGTTTTATTTAATCTGAATTTCTGACATTTATATTGATACTTTGTTGTTTCTCTTTACATATTTATACATTTCTATATTCCTCGTTTCTTAAAATTGATTCTATCCTAGTATTTGATCCAATAAGTTCACTTTGAGTCTCTCTTTCTCTCCCTGTAATGCTTTCCTAGTTCCCTAGTTCCCTTTTTCTGATTATTTCTACTTTTGACAGATGAAATACGCCACGCAGGGGATTTGCTGCACAGAAATGTTTACGTAGACAGCGATATCTCTATCAATACAGTCCAGAATTCCGTATTTAGTAAGTAATTAATCTGTAGGAACCGATTCTATCCCTGAAACGCTTAGTAGAAACAGTTCTCCCTGTGTGGAGGTCTGAGAATGAAGTCAGTTTGCTCAATGCTTGGTCGTCTGTTGGAACCTTTCACCTTTATTTAATCAGACCTCCGATTTTACCAACCCACACCATTTCCAGTATTGTTCCAATTCTGCAGATTTCAAAATCTTCCAAATCCACGATTATTTGGAGCAATTGCAAAACTCCAGCTTTAGTCATGGGGATTAATGCTGCTGGTAAGTGCATCACTTGATATATCTGCCAAACGTTATTGTATTTGACTTTTTAAAAATAATACACCGTTATTATTTATAAAACCCCTCTGGACATTCTATCTGATAGTGTCACAAGAAAACCTAAGATGCCTTCTATGCAAAATTGGTAATTTTTATACAAAATAATTCATTTTAGAGCATTGACAGGCGATTACGTGCGTCAAACTAACCCTTTGATGTTTGATGGAACAGTTAGCAGTTCTTTGTGATGCATTTACCTCTCCTCTCCCCTCCCTTACCCCTTTCAGTTTTGACTGAAAACATTAAGTATCCTGTGGTTTCCAACGGAGTAGGAAAGACTGGTTGACCTTTCATCAGATTTTAATGTTACTGGACTATTTTTGGCCTCTGGTCTGGGTAGTTATAAAGAGGATTAAAATGATTGGCGTCACTCCTTTTCCCCTAATTCTCGGAAGTGCATCTTGCATGTATTTGTTATTTTCCAGTTCTGGAGCCATTTGGTTTGAATGTGACATCCACCTTCAAATATTGAAAATAAATAATAAAACTGGGCCCATTCCAGTCAGGCATTAATGGATTTTAGTCCTGACTGTAATTCAATGTATTTTAAGTCTTAAGGATATTTTCTCCGTCAAAATAAAACCGGATTCCAGAATCGAGAGAAAAATAGAAAGTGAGCTGGTGAAATGTGTGGCATATTCAGAGAAGCTGATACTTTTCTTATTGGTGTCTTAGGTCGCCTGTTTAAAATGACATGGCAGCTTGAGTTATCTTGACTGTCTCCATGTATAAAAAACCTGTGAATTAAAAGCCATGCTGTTCTTCTGGGGGCTGCTGTTTCTCACCTTGTTTCCGGTTGCAATGGAGAAGGGCAGTGCCAGTCATAGCAAAAAACACCACCAGCAGCCCAAATCTGAGGACATCAAACAGAAAAGGTAAGCTGCTTTGTGGCAATCTGAATGATAACTTGGTCAAAATGAACACGTTAGATTGCACAAGAAAAATAGTTTTGATATTTACATTTTCAACTTCAGCTAATCTCTTGCATCCAGGCATCAAGAATATTTGTTATTTTTAGCTGTGACCAACAATTCCGCTCTCCTCGCTTTTGATAACATTTCAGGTTGAGTCACCCTTCCTCAGAGTTCTGAGGAAGAAACGTTTACTCTGATTTCTCTCCACAGATGCTGCCAGACCTGTTGAGCTTTTCCAGCAATCTATGCTCTTGTTTCTGATTTACAGCATCTGCAATTCTTTATGTTTTTAATGATCAGTCTTACAGCTAACACTGCTAGTAAGGTGCAAATCAGACAGCAACTTCCAGCAATTGCACGTGCTGTAGCCAAATTTGCAGGTGACACAAAAATACGTGGAAAGGCGGGTTGAGAGAGGAATACAAACACTTTACACAGTGATGTTGATAGGTTAAGTGCCAAAAAGTTGGCAAATGGTGCGTAATATGGAGTAATTTGAAGTTGTTCATTTCAGAAGGGAGAACAAAAGAATTATTATATGAATGGAGAAAAACTGCAGAAAGCTGCAACACAAAGGGACTTGGTGGTACTTGTGCATGAAACACAGAAAACTAGCATAAGAGTTGCAGCAGGTAATAGAAGATGAATGGAATGGGGGCCCTTATTTCAAGGGATTGGAGTACAAGAGTAAGGAAGTCTTATGGCAATTGTGCAAGGTGCTGGTGAGATCATATCAGCAGTCTGTCAGCAGTTTTTGTTCACTTATTCAAGGAAAGATATTACTGCATTGGAGGCAGTTCAGAGAAGGTTCACTGGGGTGATTCTTGGTGCGGAAGGATTGTCTTATCAGCAAAGACTAAACAGGTTGGGTCTGTACTTATTGGAGATTGGAAGAATGAGAGGTGATCTCTTGGAAACAGATAAGATTCTTAAGGGGCTTGACAGGGTAAATGCTGAGAGAATGTTTTCCCTCATGGGAGAGTCTAGGACTAGCGGGCATAGCCTTAGAATTGAGGGTGCCAATTTAAGACTGAGATGAGGAGAAATTTCTTCTCTCACAGAGTTGTGAGTCTTTCAAACTCCTTGCCACAGGGAGCTGTGTGAGCGGAGTCCTTGTGTATATTTAAGGCTGAGATAGATAAGTTCTCGATCAGTAGGGGAATCAAGGGATATGGGGAAAGGGTAGGAAAATGGACGTGAGGAATGTTAAATCTGCCATGATCCTATTGAATGGTGGAGCCAACTCGAGGGCCTGAGTGGTCTACTCCTGTTCCCATTTCCTATGATCTTACGGTCTTATAAATGTGAAAATCAGGAAATTGCTATTGAGGTGCCCTGCTCCTCCAGAAACCTCTTTCTAACTGAGGGACTCAACATTGGAATCTATGGAATAGTGTGAAGTTGCTGTACTTAGTTGATATATACCAAGTAATTTATCCAGAAAAAGATGTAACTTTTTATTTAAGCACAACAGAATATTTATTTCCGTGGTAAGTCTTAATTTCTGCCAAAAAATCTCTCTGCGCTGAAAATAGTAATGTGGAGTCTAATACCTTCAGATTTTATTTATTGCGCATTTAAAAAAAGCAAACAATTTTATAATATGTAAATTTTCTTTATGTCTATTTTATCTCTTTCAATTCTACCTTCCTCTGTCCTTATTTTACATTTTTTAATGATTTGACATTGAATTAAATGTTCTCACTGACACTTCCTGGTTCAATACCTACATTCCACATTTAGGATTCTTCAATCTGATAAAGAGATATGAAAATGCTTGCCTTATTTACACAGGGCCCAGATACCATGCATTCAAATGATGTTCTAATTTTAAAAGCCTTCATTAGAAAATCATGTAGAAAGTTTATGGGCAAGTGATAGTGTATAGAATATCTACTGCTTTCTGTTTGTTGCTGAGAGGAAGGCTCAGGTCCATGAGTAACCAATGCAAAATAAGTGTGGATTTCCTTTCAATGTGAGAAATTCAAAAGTCAACACTTGCCATTTCCTCATACCACATGTTATTTCTCTAATTCAAATACCGTTCTTAGGAGCAGTCTGAGAGCTAAGGTGAGTTATTTGCCTGTTCCTTGGTCATGAGACTAGGGTACATCATTTCACCTGACAACTACTTTTGGCTATATCTCATTCTTCATGAGCAACTTGTTAATGCCTACCCTACTAGGTCCCTCATTTTGTGTGATTAACCCTGTCACATGTCTTCACTGATATCGTCTGAAACAGTCTGGGTGAAATATGGTGTATAGAATTCTGGAGGAAACAGCTATAACACTGAATGAGAGATCGTAGGAACTGCAGCTGCTGGAGAATCCGAGACAACAAGGTGCAGGGCTGGATGAACACAGCAGGCCAAGCAGCAATCCGACCCCACCACCAAAGACATCTTTCCCTCCCCATCCTTATCTGCTTTCCGGAGGGACCACTCTCTCCGTGACTCCCTTGTCCGCTCCACACTCCCCTCCAGCTCCACCACACCCAGCACTTTTCTCTGCAACCGCAGGAAGTGCTACACCTGCCCCCATACCTCCTCCCTCACCCCCATCCCAGGCCCCAAGAAGACTTTCCACATCAAGCAGATGTTCACCTGCACATCTGCCAATGTGGTATACTGCATCCGCTGTACCCGGTGTGGCTATCTCTACATCGGGGAAACCATGTGGAGGTTCAGGGACCGCTCTGCAGAACACCTACGCTCGGTTCGCAATAAACAACTGCACCTCCCAGTCGCGAACCATTTCAACTCCCCCTCCCATTCCTCAGACGACACGTCCATCCTGAACCTCCTGCAGTGCCACAAGGTTGCAGGAACAGCAATTCATATTCCGCTTGGGAACCCTGCAGCCCAATGGTATCAATGTGGATTTCACAAGCTTCAAAATCTCCCCTCCCCCTACCACATCCCAAAACCAGTCCAGCTCGTCCCTGCCTCCCTAACCTGTTCTTCCTCCCACCCATCCCCTCCTCCCACCTCAAGCCGCACCTCCATCTCCTACCGACTAACCTCATCCCGCCCCCTTGACCTGTCCGTCCTCCCTGGACTGACCTATCCCCTCCCTAACTCCCCACCTATGCTCACCTTTACTGGCCCCATCCCCACCTCTTCGACCTGTTTGTTTCCTCTCCACCTATCCTCTCCTCTATCCATCTTCTATCCGCCTCCCACTCTCTCCCTATTTATTTCAGAACCCCCTTCCCCTCCCCCTTTTCTGATGAAGGGTCTAGGCCCGAAACGTCAGCCTCTCTGCTCCTATGATGCTGCTTGGCCTGCTGTGTTCATCCAGCCCTGCACCTTGTTGTCTCTTATAACACTGAATGCTTCATTGTAAAGGCTCTATCCTCTAACCTGGTGAGATCCATTCATGAGCTCAACAATACACGGGTATAGTTTTGTCTCCCTATTTTCTTTGTGTTGTTTTTTAGCACATGATATTAAGTATTGTTTCATTTAACTAATCTCGCAAATACTGATATCTGGTGTTTTTAAAAGTGGTGTTGCATCTATGCTTTTCTGTTACGATTTTGAAAGGAATCTTATGTTTTGCTTCAGTAGACCAGAAAGTAAAAGATCTGATTCAACTAAAACACACCTGACAAAATCTGAACAACTTCTTAGAATAGAGGACCATGATTTTGCGATGAGACCTGGATTTGGAGGTAAAGGTTTTCTGCCAATTTCACTACGCTATTCAATAGTTTAAATATTTTTCCTAATTCTGAAAAGTATAACTCTTATTATGGATTTTCTGTAGCTCTTATATTTTCATGTGAAAACAAATCAAACAGCATAATTGGATAGTCAAAATCTGAGTCTCTCAGAACCTGAAGTAATATAAAAAGATTTGCGAGCATTTGGCTACTATAAACATAAAATTTACACAGTGTAATTGTCATGATATTGTAAATGAACTTTAAATAGGGGAAATTATCCTTTATGGTGTGGGTTCGAAGCCATTCAATTTGCTAATATCTGCTCAGGTTATCAGTTGTGCCTGGGAACAGACCCAGAAAACATTCCCTTTCTAATATTACTCTTGGTGGTAATTTTCATATGCCAGTGTTCCCACTGAATATGTACATAGAAAACATATTAAAATAATGTACTACCTAAAGAATGTGTCAATGCAAAGCATTTTAGTGCTAAATCAACAATTCCTCTTCAATGGCCTAGAATTTTCAAATTAGTGAAGATAATTGTTTTAGTGCTTGTAATTATTATTGTGAAAAATTGACAGTAAATTTTAGTGCCTACACATGTGTAATTAAAAATGAAATTTCATAAGTTCCTATCTGTGAGACAGACCCAACACCTCCACAGGATATGCTGCTGCCTTTTCAACCTAGGATCAGAGAATTGATGTGAACATAAACTAGTTACATGCTTTTCTCACTGTAAAAATCATTGAAAATGCTATACTTTGTTGAATTAGTTGTAAATTAATTTTTAGCAGCATACTGAGTCAAATTAATATTGAATATTGTGGTTCTGTAAAACAAATTTTATGGAGTATTATTCTGACCATACTATAATAAATATTGTGCAATTTTTGAAATTGTCAAAATATGAATTTCTAATAGTCCATCTCGTAATTATTTAAAATCTTGTAAAATCAATAAGAAATGAATTATAATCCATGCTTTTTATTTCCTGGCTGGGTGTCTGTAAGAATTCTTCAGTCTGATTGGCCTGCTTGATGACTACGTTGTTCATGATTACTCCAGATCCTGTATAGATGGTGCCAAGTTTGAAAGGGCAAAATAAATGCTCTAAACTCTGCAAAATTATGAGGGCATCTTTTTTTAAATGTCAGTGATGAGTATAGTCCCTTTGCCGCTGGCAGCAAAAAGGCCAATATAACTGATACTAAATTTGGGACTAAATAAAGATTTTGTTTTGCTATCACCAATATAAATTTTATTTTCACTCCGTATTGTAAATAAAAAGTGTTTTAAAATCATCATTATGTCAAGGATGGCAGCAGTTCAAGAAGGCATCTCACCACCAAATTCTCCAGGGCAATTAGAATGGGCAATAAAAGCTAGCCCATTAGCATTGTTTACATGCCATGAAGGAATAAGGAGCAAAAAGTAGGTAAAGTCAAATAATGTAGATAAAAAATGTGGCATTATAAATGAAGTGGTAATAAACCTTTTAAATAGTGGATTTCTTTTACATTTATTTTTCTGTCCATTACTGGCAAAGGTTTCTCTACATTACAAACTATAATGTTGGGTTGCTTGTTAAAATGTTTCCTTTACTTTTAGGTGAAAGTACGTGATTAAGCCTTTTTTTTACTTGTTCTTTATAGGATGTATTCAAATTAAAATTATTATGGGATTGATTGTAGGAGACAGAGCCAATGTTAAATATTTGTCTCTGAAATTTTTTTCGATCTTCATGCTAATTGTATTTCCACTGTGAAGCTAGTGGATATAATTAATTAAAGGTTGCTCATCCAGTTAATTTTCAATAAGAAGAAATTATTCGTTTTAAGATTGTGTGTGGTTATATCCATTCATTCTGTGCATGAGAAATTAAAGTTTTGGACATTAAATTGACAAGTACTTACAGCGGTTATTTTTCATTTGATTGCTATCACTCAAAATTGCAATCCCAATTTCAGTTAGTACAGTGCTATTTAAATCTTAATTTATAGAAGCTAATTTGTAATCCCAGCCCAGGAGCCACGAGGCCTATAGTGAATAGCCCCAAGATTACACTGGAAGCTAATGGCTTGATCGTCCAGGATTTTCCACAGCTATCTTTTAAAACTCTTTGCAGCACACTCCAAACATGAGTTTGAAGAGCTTGGAGAGAATAAGATCAAGATAAGATAAGTGAAATTTCTAGATGCTGTGGTTTACTAAGGATTCAATTTAAATTAACTTTTGAAGCTCGTAGAAATAGAGAAAGTGAAATCATGGCAGAATTCTCTATTTAGTGAAGTTTGTGCAGCAAGGGATCGAGGGAAGCCTCCTTAGTCTCTCATTGTCCAGGAATCATTGGATGTGGTAGCTGACAAAGTGGATACAATTTCCATTGTCTTCAGAAAAGATGAAAATAATAGGTTCTAGTTTAGGAAGATTGCAAATTTAATATATGCAGCCCATGCCTACTGTAAATATTCTCAGCATGCAGGTCATCCTTGAAGCAAATCCTAACCAGTTGCTGCATTAGCAGCACTGACACAACCTCTTAGCTCCTCATAAGCACTTGCACACCCATGAACCTTCAGAGACCAGTTGTCAATGGATATATTTCAGGCTGGAGCAAGGTTTGTAGTGAAATTCCTGAAGGGTCAGTCTTGGGATCCGTGAACTTCCTGAACAATATTTATGATCTTGGCCTTGGTGTATTGGGCACAATTTCAAAGTTTGCAGACATCTGACATGTGGGAATCTTTGAAAGGCCAGTTGATCAGTATTCATGACTAGTATGTTCCCATGAGGATGAAAGATAACGATGGCAAGATTCGGGAAACTTAGGTGACTAGAGATATTGAAAATTTAGTTAAAAAGATTTCGGCAGCATACGTAACATTTATAAAGGTATATAAAGGAAACAGAAAAGAACTTAAACAAGAAATTAGAAGATCTGGAAGGAGCCAAGAAATATCCTTGGCAAGTAGGACTATGGAGAATCCCAAGTCATTTTATGCATATATTAAGAGTAAAATGGTAACTAGGCAAAGGATAAGTCCACTGAAGGATAAAGGGAGGAAATTGTGTGTGGAGCCAGAGGAATTGGGTGAGGTCCTTAGTGAGTACTTAACACCAATATTTACAAAGGAGAGGGTCATGGATGATTGTAAGATTAGGGAGGAGTATGTTTATTTTCTGGGACATGTCAATATTTGGAAGGAGGAGCTGTTGTGTGTCTTGATAAATATTCAGGTAGATAAATTCCCAGGGCCTAAGGGGATCTATCCCAGGATACTGAGGGAGGCAAAGGTGGAGATTTCTGGGGCCTTGACAAAGACCTTTGTATCCTCTTTAGCCCTAGGGCGAGGATCCAGAAGACTGGAGAACAGACAATGTTTTTCTTTTGTTTAAAACAGTTGACAAAGATAATCCAGGAAATAATAGGCCAGTGAACCTTACATCAGTGGTCAAGAAAGTATTACAGAAGATTCTCAGAGAAAGAATTTACTTGCATTTAGAGAAGAATGGACCGAATAGGCATAGTTAGCATGTCTTTATGTGTGGAGGTCTTGGCTCATAAATTTGATTGAGTTTTTTGAGGAAGAGATGAAGATGACAGATGAGGTAAAACAGTGGATGTTATTAACATGGACTTTACTGAAGCATTTGACAAAGTCCCTCATGGTAGACTGGTCCAGAGGATTAAGTCACATTTGATCCATGGTAAGTTGGCAAATTGCACACAAAATTAGCTTGGTGATAGAAGACAGAGGGTAGTTATGGAGGGGTGTTTTTCTAACTGGAAGTCTGTGACAAGTGGCATTCTACAATGATCAATGCTGGGACCTCTGTCGTTTGTAATATATATATATATGATTTGGATGAAAATGTAAGTGGTCTGATTAGTAACTTTGCAGATGAAATGCAAAGTTGTAATGCTCTTCGGAGGGGCAGTTTTGACTTGATGGGCTGAATGGCCTGTTTCCACACTGTAGAGATTTTATGATTCAATGATTGTGAAAATTGGTGGAGTTGTGGATACTGAGGAAGAATATTAAAGGATACAATGGGATATGGATCAGTTGGAAAATTGAGTGGAAAAAGGAAGATTCGGTTTAATCTGGACAAATGTGAGGTGATGCATTTTGGGAAGTCAAATGCAAAAGTTAAGTGTACAGTATATGGTAGGACTCTTAGGAGCATTGACATATGGAGCGATCTTGGGGTGTAAGTCCACAGCTCCCTGAAAGTGGCAACACAAATAGATAAAGTGGTAAAGAAGGCATATGGCTTGCTTGCCTTCATTAGTTTGGGCATTGAGTATAAAAGTTGGCAAGCCATGTTGCAACTGTATAAAACTTTAGTTAGGCTATATTTGAAGTATTGTGGGAAGTTCTGGTCCCCATACTATAGGAAGTTTGTGGAGGCTTTGGAGAGGGTGCAAAAGAGGTTTACAAAGATGTTATCTGAATTGGAATGTGTTAGGTATAAAGAGAGGTTGGACAAACTTGGATTGTTTGCACTTGAGTGTAGGTAGCTGAGGGCTGACCTGATAGATCTATATAAAATTGTGAAAGGCAATGGATAGCGTGGATAGTTGGAGTCTTTTTCCCAGGGTGGAAATGTTAAATACTAGGGGACATAGGTTTAAGTGAGAGGGAGAGGTTTAAAGGAAATGTGCAAGGTAAGTTTTTTTACACAGCCTAGGTTGCACTGCTAGGGGAAATGGCAGAAGCAGATACATTGGCAAGATTTAAGAGGCATTTAGACAGACAGGAACAGGCAGGGAATAGAGGGATACTGACCATGTGCAGGCAGATGGGACTAGTTTAGAATGGCATAATGGTCGACACAAACATGGTGGTCTGAAGGGCCTGTTTCTGTGCTGTACAGTTCTACATTCGACGTTCTATAATACAACATTGGAAACATTGTAAGCTGTGAGGAGGACTGTATAGAACTTCAAAGGACTTTGACAAGTTGATGAAGTGGGCAAATAGGAAGCAAATGAAGTTCAAAGTGGAGAAGTGAGACGTGATACATTTTACTGTTAAGAACATGAAGAGACAATATAACACTAAGGGTACTTTATAAATGGATCTGAAGGAAAAAAGAGACCTGGGTGTACATGCATTTTGGTGGAGAAACAGATGCTTTTGTTTCTTCTTAAACCATTGAACTCTTCCTTTTTTACTACCCTTGTTTTTGGTTTCAAGCTGTTTATTCCTGTCAGCTGCTGTGAAGATAATTTCAGCCAGCTAAACATCTCTTTCTGTATATATCCGTGATTTTTCCAAAGTCCTCCATCACTTTAAACTTTTCCAAATTTCTAGCTCTAAGTGTCTCCTTTCCAACATCGACGGTCAATTCCTCTGCACCTCCAATAGGATAGCTTTCACTTCTTCCTTAAACAGAGGCTCAGTTAGTCCCCAACTACCATACTATCCTCCATCTGGATAAATATATTCTTATATTGAATCTACTCTCTTCCTTCAAAGATAATGTGGAAACCCATGCCAGTCTAAGCTAAGCCTGCTTTTTCATGGACTATGTGGAATAATCTTTGTTCTAGTTGTACTTACTCCCATTCATTATCTTCCTGACATAGCTGGCTAGAGTACTGCTAATTCCTGCTCCTGCTGTGAATCCAAAATCTTTTCTCTAACTTGAACTTTTCTCTATACGCTTACTGCTTTGGGTCACCACCATTTCTATTTTGATTTCAGATTTGCAGCGTTTGCTACAAGTTTTGCATTTTATTTATGTTATTAAGAATGCCCAAGTTACCGTAGGATAACTGCTGCTTTTGGAACTGCAAGAAGTTAACACATAAAAAAGGTAAAATTAAAGTCACATGTTTCCTACTTGCCTTTTAAGGAGCAGCAGTATCTGTTGGTATAGATGTCCAGATCGAAAGCATTGACAGCATTTCTGAAGTTGATATGGTAAGTCTGAACTTTTGTTACTGATGGACAGAAATTTACCTACAGCAAAAATGCACTACATAACTGTACCATAAGCACATTGCATATTATTGTATTTATTATCATTTTATTTGAATTTGAATTTGATTTGCTGATGAAAGAGGATCCTGACTTTTGGCTTTCCATTGCTGTTGGTCTGTTTGATTGGCTCATGTCAAAAACAACTAATATTTGTACTTTCAAAGTAATAAAATAAATAAAAACATCAGAAACTCACAGGAATGTTTTAAAATAAAATTAGGCACTGAGCTGAATAAGGATGAGTTGAGTTAGACAACCACATCTTGGTTACAAGGGTTAGTTCTATGTCTTGTCTTAAAGGAGGAAAGCAAGTTGTAAGAAAGGGATTCTTGGCAAGTGGAGACACAATCACCAATGGTGCAATGAATAAAAACAGTGTTCACAAGATGCCAGAAATAAATGAATGAAGACATCGTGGAGGGTTGTGTGACTGTAGGAGAATGCAGAGACTGGGAGGCATGAGGCTTCACTGGGAGCCAATATAATTTAGTTCACAATTGGGCGACGTGTGAACAGGATTTGATGCAGCTTAAGACTTGAACAGCAGAGTTTTGGATGAACTCAGGGAGTTTAGAATATGGGACATGAGCCAGGAATTCATTCGAGGTAACAAGGCAGGAGGAAGGGTTTCAGTAGGAGATGAATGATCATGGAAATAGGCAATCTCACTGCTGGTGCGAATATATAGTCTCAGCTGATCTTGGAATCAAATATGATGCTAACGTTACCACCATGCCAGCAGTAGTAATTGAGCTGATATCTAGGAAATTAGGTTGGAACAAGGACTGAAAACAATGGTTTGTCATGTAAATAATTACCAGCCTTAACATTCCATATTTTTACAATCATCCCTCTTTTGATTCAGAATCCATTTACTGCTGATGTTTCGTATCCATAGGACTTTACAATGACTTTGTATCTAAGACACTACTGGAAAGATAGCAGACTCGCTTTTCCAAGTTCCAACAACAGAAGTATGACATTTGATGGAAGATTAGTCAAGAAAATTTGGGTTCCGGATGTGTTTTTTGTTCACTCCAAAAGATCTTTCATACATGACACAACTATGGAGAACATCATGCTAAGGGTATATCCAGATGGCAACATCCTGTACAGTTTAAGGTGAATCATTGCTAATTGACTTTTCTTAGTATTGCTGAGTTTAGTTTTTTCCGTATTAATCTTCTGTTGGGGTTTCCTTCCATAAATCCTTTTAAAGTGGATAATACTTGATATCAATGGAAATACAAGATTTATTTTCCATTATATGCACTATGTTCTCTCACACTGTATTACAGCTAGATGACAGATCAACTATTCCCACATTTCAAAATGCTATCTCATCAAAATGATACACATGATTCTTATTATTATTCAAATCCTTCAAGCTCCTGCACAATATAATTAATATTGATACAAAATGTTTTTATTTGTACTTCAATAGTCATTTACATTGCAAAGCTTCAAATAATCCATGAAATGAGTTTACATGAGGTCAAGCTGAATTGATGTGAGAGATTGCATTTTTTGGTCAAGTTTTAGAAAATGCAAAGGTTTCTATTTTCAATTCCAGCAAAAGAAATGCTAACCTTATTCCAAAAACGTAACTCCGTAGCTTAGGTTGTGTGTTGCATTAGATTTTGTAATGCAAGCCCCACTCTCTCATTCGATTAGGTTACAAAGAAAAGGAAAGCTTTCCCAGAGACCTTAATCTGCAATACTCTTGATAAGGGTTTGCAAAGCTACATTTGGGAACAGCTCTTAAAGATCTACAAATCTTCACAAATGAGGAAATTTTGGTGCATGGAAGGGAGTGAACTAATAGCTTTTAATGATACGTTAAGGACATGTGGGCAACTTGTTTAAAATGGCAGCCATATTGCAAGACGAATTCCTACAGAACTGAATGACTCCCTGAAGTAAATAACAGGTTGGGTAGGGAGGTGTGCATGCATGGACGAGCACAGTCACTTAGGAAGCTGAAGATAAATGTGTTCCTCCATTTTTACAACATTTCTTATGCAGTTTGTCAAGCATGTCACACATCGAAAATGGCAACTCATATACCTATGTTAATGTGTACAAGCAATCTTTGTGCAATTGTATTAATTTGTATGGAAAGTCTCAAACTTTGAAGTAATTTTACTGATGTTGTAACATAGTTATAGCTGGAAGAGTTCTGAGGTAGTGTCACACAGCATTGGATACCATAAATATGAATCTATTGAGAATTATGCTATAAACTTATCAATAGTGAGATGGAAATTGCAATGATTACACAATTAATCTTTGTTTCATTTTAAATTCTGCACTTTCATTTTGTATTTGTTTGAGCAAAATGACTCCTTAAATTTCTTGTGCAATGTGAAGCCAGTTCTCCTAACAGTCTGAATCTAATGTGTGCCATTTTAAATGCGATTTAAGTATGAAAGTTAGAACAAATTTTGTGTGTTGCTTTTATTACTTGCCATTATAGTCAAAATTTGAATGATATTCATGTTTTGTTGCATGTGTTCACAAATGCTTCAGTGACTGAGGAGCTGTGAATATTGTTCAATTATCAGCTAGCATCCTCATTTCTGACCTTATGTTGAAGGGATGAGCATTGATGAAGCAGTTGAATATGTTTGGGTCTAGTACACTACCCCGGTGTGCCACCAGTGATGTTTGGGATTCCTTTAGGTTAAACATAACCACATTCACATTGACTTCAATTTTGACAGGACCCCTGGATATCGTACTCAACCAAAAGCTGCCTTGATGTCAAGGGTAGAGACCTTCATGTCACCTCTAAAATTCAGCTCTTTGGTTCATGTTTGTACAAATGTTGCAATGACGCTTGGACTTCATTGACCTTGGTGGAACCTAATCTGTTTCAGTGAACAGGTTGTTGCTAAATAAATGCAAATTGATTGCACTCTTATTTACACCTCTTATTTCTTTCCAGATGATTGAAAATAAACTGATGGAACTATGATTACCTGGATTGGACCTAACCAGCTTATTGTATTCAGGATATACCTGGACAATTTTCCATATTATTGGGTAGAAGCCAGTGTAGTAGCTGTAATAAGTAGCTATACTAAGGATACAGTGGCTCTGGGGCACCTGTTCACTTCTACATTCAGGGTGTTGTCAGGGCACAAAGACTTTGCTGAATCTAGAGCCTTCAACTAGTTCTTAATATCTCATGGAGTTAACCAAATTGGGTAAAGACTGGTGTCGGGGGACTTCAGTATCAGATCAAGATCAATCAACCACTAGGTAGTTCATATTAACATATGAAGTAGGAAACCACAGGACAGGTAGACCATTCAGCCCTTTGGGCCTTCTCCTATCAGTAAGTTCACAGCCGATTTGTTTGTGCTTCAAACTCTACATTCCCACCTCGTCCTGATAACCTTTGATTGCCTTATCTTCTAGATGAAGGTGACTGAAAATGTTTCAGCTTTGTTGTTTGCACTGATGTTCATCTTTTATAGAATCCCTACAGTATGGAAACAAGCCCTTCAGCTCAACAAGTCTACACCAACTCTTAGAGCATCCCACCCAGACCCATCCCCCTAATCTACGCATCCCTGAACACTATGGGTAATTTAGCATGGCCAATCCACCTAGCCTGCACATCTTTGGATTGTGGGAGGAAACCAGAGAAAACTCATGCAGACAGAGAGAATGTGCAAACTCCATACAGACAGTCGCCCGAGGGTGAAATTGAACCCGGGCCCCTGGCACTGTGAGGCAGCAATGCTAACTACTGAGCCACCGTAATCTTGATCACTAAGCTGTATTTATAGCATGCTGTTTCCAGTGTCTGACTTATATTACTGCTGTTCTGCTGTTCTGGCTACAGATTGTGGTCTGGCTTTATTCTATTGCAACATTTCCATAACAGATTTATAAAATTGAGTGTCTAGCTAGGATATTTAGGGGACATTAAGAGGCAATGATATTGCTGTAGTCACATATAGGCTAGACTAAGTAGGAAGGCAGATTTCCTTTCTGAAAAATCCTTAAAGAACCAAATAGGTATTTATGGTTATCCAGCAGTTTAATGGATATTATTGAGACTAGCACTTTATTCCAGATTTACTAATTGCCAGCTGCAATAGTGGAATTTTAACATATATTGGGAGCATTTAATTCCAGGCATCTGGACTAGTCCAGTAACATTCCCACTATATGGCAATTACTGTAGTGTCTATCTTTAAATAAGCCTATTTTAAAAAAAATACCTTGGTGCTTATGTGGCTTAAATTAGAGCATATTTTATAGCTTGTTTTGAATACTTTTTGTAGAACTACAGTCACTGCCATGTGTTCAATGGATTTTAGCAGCTTTCCCCTTGATACTCAGAACTGCTCACTGGAGCTTGAAAGTTGTAAGTATCTAATACTTGGTTTAGTAAGTTTGAGTGGTAATACTTGTTTATTCTTCAATGCATTTAAAAGTTTGGTGTGATATAAGTATCATAGGCTGAAATTTTCTTTGTTTCCATTGTTATCTAAACTATAATTTTAATTTATTTAATTTTTTAAATTAACTGACTGATAAGAATTAGTCATCTAGAGCTTAGGATAATACAGTCAAATGCTGGCATGTTTGATAAATTTGTAAAATTATTTTACCAACCTAATTATAGTAAAATAAGTTGTCAGTTTGTAATCTTGGCTTGACTGTAATAATGCCTTTATGTTTTCCTACAGATGCTTACAATGAAAAAGATCTAATGCTCCATTGGAAGAATGAAAAGGAACCACTGAAGACAGATGAACAGATTTTACTTGCTCAGTTTTTCATACAAGAATTTCGTGCATCAAGTGGACTTGCATTTTATAGCAGCACTGGTACGTTTCTCTCACCATGATAGGTATCTGAATGATGGAAAGCTGAAAGATTGTAATCCTACAGAGAGAGGTTCAATTGCTATTGTACAATTTGATAGCAAATTATCATAAATATGCCCATTGAGAACAGTATGACTTATTGGATACTCATAATACATAGCAATAAGCATTTTGACACTGGTCCAGCTAATGGGTAATGCAGATGATGGTGCAGAAAGAGTTATTGTCCATAAACCAGATTTGTGTCATTATCATTTCAATGGATTCATTCCTAATAAAATAATAAAAGCTTAGGCTTTGTGAAAAATCAAACATTCTGGATCATTGTAAAACTTAGGGAGGTTAATTATGTTAGTTATTTGAGTGGTGGGACGAGATAGCATACATTAGAGCAATGGTGAGGAGTCCTTAAAGGTCAATTCCTGGAGAATGACTCAGCATGATGGATAGTGAGAGACAACGGTGAAACTTACGGTGTTACTAGAGGTCTACAGACGCATTTGGAGAGTCCCAAGGAATATGCAGAGACGAGCCATGGGTGATTCAAAAACAATTTGAATATTTGACAGAACCAAATAAGCTGAGAAGTACTGTTGAGAGGGGTTAGGGTTTGAGGGAACTGCAATGATGAAATATCTCAAGTGCAAGAGGCCATGACCAAATGAGGTGATGAAGAGAATGCATAATAGGGAGCAGAGATTGTTAAATACAAGGTGATAGTATGATATTGAGATTCAGACTAGGATATGAAACGCATATACAAATGGTCAGAAAGGAAAACCTATTTACATTAATAATGTTTCATTGTATGTAGGTGATAGTCATGAACTGGGGATTTACTTCCTACAAATAGACACAGTCTGAATCGAAAGTTATTGGGTTAGAAGGTGCTTGCTAGTAATGTGTAAGTGTGTATAAAATGCTTATAAAAATATGTAAATGTCAGCTTTAGCTTTATTCTTCATTGATTCCCTTTGTGAACTATGATGTTAGATTACTTACATATGTGGCAGACAATAAAGAAGATCTTGGGTTTCAGGTTTATTTGAGAAACTGGCCCAATTTTTGAGGACCTATCTTTAGTAAAATGAGGTCTACACTCATGTGAGTTAACATTAATTCACTTTATTAATCAGTTTTATTCTTAGAGTAAAAGTCTAAACTCTTCAATGCATACTACCGTATAAAGGAAGTGCCAGAGAGGAAGACTGCAATGGAGCTAAGTCCATTTCAGGAGCCAGTAAGGGGATGAAGGTTCAGCTTAGAACTAAAAACTGGTCAATGTTCAATCCATGAGGCAGTGAGAAGTAATAGTCAGTTTAGAAGACTTCATAGATTGGCCTTTGAAATGTTGGGTGCTGTTGGAGGAGCAGAAAGTAGAAAATGAATAATCAGTGATTGATTTGAGGGACCGATGGAGAAATTAAGTTTAATCTAGGGAGCTAATAGAGAAGAAGAGTAAAGCTCATGAACTAGGAGAAGGGGATAATCTAGGAAATAGCCGAAGAATACAGATTAGCTGTGAAGATCAATAAATCACTGTAGCTCGGTTTAGGAACTTAGTAGATCAACAAACTTCAACACAGGAACAAACGTAGGAATAGACTTCAGAGTGAAAGCCAAAGAGAATCAATGAAGAATCAATGAGCACAGACATAAATCCCAGAAAAATGTGGAGCCCACTTCAGAAGTGAGAACTTGCTTGGTATCTAAATCACAGCAGAATAATGCCCAGAAGCTAGAGAAATATTGGAGTTCATTCCAAAGCACAAGAAGTAACTTTAAAAAACCAAGGATTACTTTTGGATGCCAGAAGGCAGTGACACCCTCTCAATCGCCCCTGGATTGTACAGCAGCAATACAGAGTGTTGTCATCAGATGAGACTCAGGTGGGCTAACAGCAACAGAATTCCAAATAGATAGGGTCAGATGATCGATGTAGTATATTTTGATTTTATAAGAAGGCATTCAATAAAATGCCACACACAAGTTTAGCACTCAAGATTGTGGATATTAGCCAATTCCCATTGAATTCAGGACTGGTTAACAGAGAAAACAGACAGCCAATAAAAGAGCTATTGTAGGGATGCCAGGGTGTTACTTGTGCAGTGTCACCAGGATATGTACTTGGCATCGGTGATTTAAAATGTACTACAATGATTTAGGTGAGAAGATTGTGTGACTCAGGTTCGCTGGTGATACAAAACTGGGTGGGAGGGAAAGCTGTTAGTAGAAGAGACTGGTTCGGTGACTGGGCAAGAGGGTGATAGATGCAACATAATGGAAAATGTGTGGAATTATTCACTTTTGTCAGAAGAATTGAAAGCAGAATGCTTTTTAAAAGGTGAGTGGCTAGTACATACTGGTATTTAGGGATATTTGAAGACCTTGTACAAAAATCAGGGAAAGGTAACATGCAGTCCAACAAGCAATTAGGAAGGCTTTATTCCAATGGGATAAGAGTACAGAAACCATGCTGCAATTATATTGGGCTTTGATTTTAAAAATTACATTGGAAGTACTCTGTACAGTTTTGGTCTCCTGACATAGGGAAGAAAAGAGAGGTTGGTAATCTCAATGGTCTGGTAATCCAGAAAACCACAATAGCACCTGTGGCTGTGGGTTTGAATCTCACATGGCAGATGTTGACATTTTAATTCAATTAAACTGGACTTAATACAAACCTAATGGTGACAATGTAACCACTGTTGATTGTTGTAAAATATCCACCTGATTTACTAGTGCTGATTAGGAAAGGAAATTTGCTATCTTTATCCAGTCTGGTCTACATGTGTTTGCAGACCTACAGCAATGTGGTTGACTCTTAACTGCCCCTTTGCAATTAGGGACGAGCAATAAGTGTTGGCCCAATGACATCCAGATCCCATGAACAAATTTGATTTTAGAACGAAAATGTTTGACTTACAGGAATGCAATAAAGATTTGGGTATAATGGAGAGTTTGGGTATAATGGCCACATAGTCTTTGAAATTCGGAGGATTCTTCTAATTTGAGAGGACTTAACAGCTAGATGCTGAGAAGCTGTTTCCCTTGGCTGTAGAGTCTGAACTGAAGATCTCAGGATAAGGGCAAATTGGAACAAGGGGAAATGCCTTCATTCAAAGGATTGTGAATTTTTTGAATTCTCTACTCCAGAGGATGAAGACTGCTCAGCTATTGGGCATATTGAAGGCTGATATCAATAGATTTTTAGGCACTGAGAGGATGAAGAAATATGAGGATAGATGCAGTTGAGGTAGAAACTTGGCTACGAGAAGAAAATTTACCAAAATTGTAACTTTTCTTTTCTCAGGTTGGTACAACAGATTGTTCATTAATTTCATCCTGAGGAGACACATTTTCTTTTTTCTTTTACAAACCTACTTTCCAACCATGTTAATGGTCATGTTATCTTGGGTTTCCTTCTGGATTGACAGAAGAGCAGTCCCGGCTCGGGTTTCACTGGGTAATTTATTTTAATTTTCTTTATGTTTCTTCTTGTCTTTATCAAGGTGAGGGATAAAACAGCCCAATGACAGCATGAAAACTCTTAAATTAAATGAAAATGATAACATTGTGCATAAACTTAAAACCTCACAAGAGGATTTCCCTCAGCTCTGGTAACAATTTTTCCATTTATTGCATTGAATGAGATTGACAACTTAGTGCCAGCCAGCCAGTTCCCCAAAATGAGAAGCTTTGAGATGTGTGTCAGTGTTTACCGGAAATTAGGTTGAATATGCTTGTTGTAGCGGGCTGATTTCAAATAGTTGCAATTGCTTCACCTCATATCCCTATGTCTTTAGAGGAACCATTGGTCTAGTATTATTACTAGACTATTAATCAGGCAACCCAGGTAATGTTCTGGGGATCCAGGTTCAAATCCTGCCATGGTAGATCGTGACGTTTGCATTAAATTTCAAAACAAAATCTGGTATTAAAAGTCTAATGATGACCATGAAACTATTGCTGATTGTCAAGAGAAACCCATCCAGTTCACTAATGTCCTTAGGGAAGGAATCTCCCATCCTATTCTGGTCTGGTGTACGTGTGACACCAGACCCACAGCAATGTGGTTGACTCTTAACTGCCCTCTGGGACAATAAATGCTGTCCTAGCTAGCGACACCCACATCCCATGAACAAAACAAAACACTAGTGCAAGAATAACAATATGGAAACCTGTTAAAGGTTTGTGGCTAGGACAGCATGATAGTACATTGAGGAAGTATTAGAAATAAAGAGACATTTGTGAACTCCCTCACAAATTTTTCTGAAATTCAGCCTCTCATTATTTAGCTCTGTCCCATTCAGTTCACGTCAGTTTCCTGCATTTCCACAACTATTGTGTTATTGTAGATTTACACCTTTATGTTTTGGTACAGTATGTCCAGAGTCACTATATATTTATTTGTGATTTAACTTTGTTTGACTGAGATCTGCATCTGGCTTAAAGTATACACTGCCAGTCTCAGTGGACAAAGAATTGCAGACTTGTGTTGCATCCCAAAGCTGAGAAGGTTCTATATCTGGAATGGCTTTCCCAAAGCCATGCCCCTTTACTGCATAATAATGGAATATGAAGAGGAACAGTGGAAGCAAGAGCTCTGTGAAAGTGAGGCCTAAAGCAGAAGTAAGCAACACACTTGATTACACTGAACTCATATCAATTGTTCTGTTACATACTAATTGCAGGAAATCTGGTGCAAATTCCCATTCATAACAGTGACATAAACTGGTACCAATTTTGGCATATGTGACATTGAGGAAATTCAATACTTTTGCATCCAACATGATGAATGTAACTTTTGATTTCAGCATAACTTAAAGATAAGCATTTAAGAATTAAGTTTGCATGAAATTTAGCTTGACTCGGTTTATGCCTCATGAAAGCACACGTTAAAATACTAGCTAAAATGTTTGTGCTTAATGTTGATCCCTGTAATTGTTGAGATCTTATCTTTCAAATAGCACAACTAAAAGTGCTGGTTAGACACAATTCAATGCTGCATCACTTCTAAGCTGTTGTTAGTGGCAATGGTTAGAATTGTTTTATTGCCTCTTTTATGGATTGTTCAAAAAGATGGAGAAAAATCCCAAAAAAATTGGAGATGCTGGCCGGAGACAGGTGATCAACCCACTTTCTATTCTTGAGCCAGATTAGAATACAGGTCCAGGTTTTTTCTTTAACTACTGTCTGCCTCACACCATCAATATTTCTTACATATTTTTCTTTTCTACTGCAAGGAATAACGATTGTTTTAACTATGTCAACAATTATAACTGGAGTGAATGCATCAATGCCTCGAGTCTCTTACGTTAAAGCTGTGGATATCTACCTCTGGGTCAGCTTTCTCTTTGTCTTCCTTTCTATAATTGAATATGCAGCTGTAAACTATCTAACCACTATTGAAGAAAGGAAAAGAATGAAACAGAGAGAGAAGGTAAGATAACTAAAATTGTTCATTTTTTAAAAAAGTATACAAAATAGAAATTGAGAGAATTCTTTAAAGGTTCATCTGATAAATTATGTATGGAGTTTTTCTTTATGTGACATCTGCATTTGAACATGCTGAAATCGCAATTATGATGATTTTGAACATAATTTGGTGCTATCATTCTCAAAGGTTGGGCTTGCCTTTAAAATGACTGAGTGTTTCTAAGGCACATGTGATCTTTTCCAAAAGCTATCTGGGGAAAGGAAGTGGGACCCAGTTTATATGTAATGGGCTATTAGATTTTCTGATTAATGGCAAACATATTCAGATAAATATGCTGCTCCTTTTTTACATTAAGAGTCCCAAATTCCTGATGGAATATTCCATCAGGACTCCTCCAGAAATTCCAGGAGGCCAGGTAAGTAGAGTATCAGGTGGTTAGGGGATTGTTGCAGGGTGCCAGGTAAGTAGGACTCCAAATGGGTACAGTACCAGGGCACAAAATGTGAAAGGGGTCAGGTTAGTGATGGGAATGTTTAGATTAGGTCAGGTGGGCAGGGGATGTTTGGATTTGTGGAAACATGGGTGGTTGGTGTCAGGTTCTGGGGAGACAAGGGGTGTGTCGGGCTCCAACAGTCAGAGTGGAAGGAGGTGATCAGTGCTGGGAGGGTGCATGAGGAGTCGGGTCCCCGGGGAGAAGGGAATTTTGGATATTAAATGGATGTTTTTGGATTCTGGGATGAGACAGAGTTATCACATCGCAGGTGGAGAGGGTGCATGTCTGGTTTCCAGGGGAGGGGGGGTATTTGGGGCCTCGGATGAGGGCACATTTTGGGTCCCTAGGGAAAGTAGAGTTGTTGAGTTCTGAGAGAGGAGATTTTCAGGTACTATCGGTGGCAACAAGAGGTCGGGTGGGTGCATGGAGTGTTTGCTTCCAGGGAAGTGGAGGAATCTCAGGTTCAATGGTGGGGGAAGGGTATCAAGTCTAGGTGGAAAGGGGGATTCTGGATCAGCGGATATGTAGTTGGGGGGAGTCTATGGTAAATTGGTCATGTTTAAAAGTTAGCCAAACTTTAGACCAGATTTTTAAAAGTCTAACTTTTCCTGAGTAACTAGTCACTTAACTGCAGTGAAATCATCCAAATTCTCCAGTTAAGATAGATACTTTTGGAGGGTTCCAGGTTTTGGAAATGGCCCATCAGAATTTTCAATTTCCTGGTTAATTTCCTCAGAGTCTGGTTCATCAGAGATTTTACAGGGTTCTGATGTGCAACTCCCATTTACACAGCAGAATCGACTACCAGGGGAAAATCTAGGCCAAGAGGTTTCCCATTAAAACAAAGATGAGGAGAAATATCTTGTCTCATAGGTCAGTGGTCTTCTGAATTCTTTTCCCCAGTGTGCATGGGAGCTGGGCCATTAAATATGTTCAAAGCTGAGTAGGATTTTAATGGGGGATACACAGGTAAACGAAGTGAAGAGCACAATCGATCAGCCTCGATCTTATTGAATGGCAGAGCAAGCTAAATGAAGCACGTATGTCACAAAGTCCAGCTTCATGATGCATGATTACTTAATAGTATGCAAGATTAGGTGGAACAGGTTTGTGGGCAAGATACTTTCTTGCCAAAATTTGCAAGCTCGAAGGCAGCCACATACATCCTGATGGATACAGCAATGAATTTATAGGATAAACATTAGCTGGGTCAGAGGGAACAAGTGAGGAGAAGCAACCATGCAGGAGTTCTTTTTTTTCTGCCATCAGATATCTCTTCAGTGTTCAGTTCAACTGGATAGCCACATTACAATCCTACTGTTGGTCAAGTTAGGTAGTTTTCACTTAAAGTTGGGGATCTATTCATGAAAATTACTACTTTAAACAACGTTAAGGAAATCATGGGTTTGCGTAGGAGTCATTTTGAGGTTAGCATGGGGGTGAGGTGGGGTGGGTTGGCAGAAGCTGGACCAGGAGACAAGTCTGTGGGGAGAGGAAATACTGGGAGACAAAGCAGGGGTAGGGCTTAATGACATTAAAACCAGAAGTGCCAATTAATTCAAAGAAAAAGCCCTAAAGATAAAAATAGGTTCAAAGAAAATAATGTTAAGCAAGACAATGGAAACAAGAAATACCAATTACTGAGTAAACTTACCAAGGGATTATTTCATATAGTGATGTTGTGGTGATCTGGTGATGCACCTCTAGTAATCCAGACACCAAGCCTAATGCTGTGGGAACATGAGTTCATATCCTACCATGGTAGCTGATAGTATTGAAAATTAATTAAGAAATCTGGAATATAAAAACTAGTTTCAGTAATGGTGAAAACTACCATGAATACAAATTCCCTTGAGGGAAGAAAATGTATCATTCTATCCTAATCTAGTCTACGTGTGACTCCAGATCCACAGCAATGTATTTGACTCTTAGTTGCTCTCTGAAATGGCCAACAAACTATTTAGTTCAAGATCAACTAGGGATGGGCAATTACTGTTAGCCTTGCCAATGACACCCACAGACCATGAAAGAAGAATTGATGCATAGATTAATCTTAGTATCATTGGTGGTGCCAAGCCTGTATTATAATTTAGTTGTAGATAATACAACTTACCCACTGATTTTCAATTGGCCCAATGTGTTTAGAGTCAGTTCCACAGTCATTGGTAGAAAGGTATGCCAAAATGTTAAGATATAATTGGTTTGGCATGATGGTTGTGGCCAAATAAACCATAAGATTTCTGGTCTCCCTATTCTGACTCAATATCTCAATGGCCCACTCTTCCACAACAAATGGTAAATTAATAATTATTTTACCAAAGTTTCCAAGTGGATGCAATGGCGTATTTGTATGATCATTGGTGAATTGCAAACAGCTATGTAGATCCTATTTTCTTTGGAAGACTTGGAAAGAGCGGTTCTTTTGCATTTCTCAATCAGTTTCTCATTTCTAGTGAAATTGTCACTTGTCATTAAAATTAACACTTCCTTCATGATCAACAAATAATCAACAGTAATTATGTCTATGATCAACTATATATTTTGAGGACCAGTTCTCAAGGAAATACCTGGTCCCATTGCTGTTGTCAGAACCCATAATCTTAGAAGAAAATAAACCCTGTTATTACACAGAAAGGAAGAAAAGAGCTTATATTAAATTAGACTGAAGTAATTTGAAATTATATTAACTTGCAGTTGCTTTTACAGATCTGAAGATGACTTAGTAAATTAAGATACAGTGAACAGATTTGTAAATCAAAATGTTGCTTTGAACAGTTATCAAATTTTAGAAATGTTGGGCTCGATTTTAACTCATTTAAAACCCACTTACTTGCATTGAGTTAACATTAGGCCCTAACAGTCAATTCAATGCAGATGTCAGTATCAGTGATAATCACAAAAGTACTTATTTTTCAGTTTTCAGATTCCTTTAGGTTGAATCAGACGCAAACTATGGCTTTTGACGGCTGCTACCATGATAGTCAGCTGGATCTGTCAGACTATGCTGAAGCCCGTTTAAGTGTAGCAAACACTGAAGCCAGAGAACGTGTATCCTGTTCAAATCCGGATGGTCAACAGTTGAGGAGAAAGAAATCTATTAAGGGGAATGTCACTGCAGTTATGATAAAAAATAATCATGTTATTGATACTTACTCGAGGGTTTTATTTCCTACAGCATTTATTCTTTTTAATTTTATTTATTGGTGCTTATTTTCATAAATGTTGGTCATTCCCAACCTTTCTAATATTCTTTAATTTAGGGAAGATGGTGGTTTAGTGGTAATATCACTGGACTAGGAATCCCGATAAGCCTAGGCTAACACCCAGGACCGTGGGTTCAAATCCCACCACGGTAGTTGGGTGGAATTTCAATTCAATCAATAAAAAACATACTGGATGTTAAGCTAGTCTCAGTAATGTTGTCTATGACAGCTATCATTAAAAACCTGTCTGGTTCTGTAACACCCTTTAGCAAAGGAAATCTGCTGTCCTTACCTCATCTGGTCTGCAGTAGATGTGATTAACTTTTAACTGGCCTGTGAAATGGTCTAACAAGATATTTCCATTCAAGGACAATTAGGGATGGAAAAAACTGCTGGCCTTATCAGAGAGACCCACTTCCAGTGAAAGAATATGGAAAAAAAATAGTGAGCCTAAAATTTGGGTCATGTAGTGCCCATTTTTCACATGCTACAGTAGTCTCTTAAAGCTGGGCAGCCATTGAATGTTAACTTGAACTAATGATGGATTTCATCGAAAGGAAGTAACAGTTGATTTACATTGTATTTTCATCCAGTTTAAGGACATTTCATAGTTTATTGGATACTGGCACAATTTTACTTTTTTTGTAAGATTACATGCTCAAAAAGATCTGAGCTTGAATATTACAGAACACATTGAAAATAAAGTATCAACAAATACATAAAACTTGAATGCATCTTGGAGTACAAGTGAAACATACAATTACTAATTTTTAAATCTAACAAATAAAATGCTGACATCCTCATACTGAGGAAATAAAACTGAATCTAATTTCAGCCTGAACTGTATTGTACTGTGTATATTCTGAACATCATACCAAATGTTCTGAAAATTATCTTAAATTACAGAATATATAAATTAATTTATGTAGAGTGTAGACTCCTTGCTGTCTGTCCAGTTATGTTTTAACAATGGTTTTATTCATTTTAGTAATGGATATGAATTTATAAAGCATTGAATCACAGAAATTCCAAAGTTGTTCGAAGAGCAAATCAGCTGAAAGACCAATTAATTTGCTGTTGGTGCTGTTGTGGGAGAGCTGCCAGGTAGTATACAAGGAGAACTCTACAATCGTCTTTGCAAAGTGTCACAGTGCTTTCCACAGCCACCTGAACAGGGGAACAGGCATTGCAAAAAATGCCCTGTGTTGGAGAATTATTCACAGGAACAAAATAATGTATACATAAAGGCATAGGTATGAAAGTACAACGGGGATATTTTTAAAAAAAGGCATACAGAACAGAAGTCATTGTACTCACATTGCAACCCATTAAGACATGTTATTAATAATGCTATTTTCCATTCAAAAATCCCATTTAAAGTTTAGCCTTTTTTTCTATATTAGTTGTCTATCAACAACTTATAGTTATATAGATAGCACTGTCAACAGAGTAAAGTATCCAAGGTGCTTCACTGAAGCAAAAACAGCAATCACTGGTATCCCCTTCAGGATGGTTGCACCATTGACTTCTTTCCTAATGGAAGCAAAGAGGGAGAGGGAGCACTTTGCAGTTATACATGTTTGTTGGGAGCAATAAATGGAAATGATCTGCATCTCAAAGCCCCATTTGAAATTTTCTTTTGTTTTATGAACAGAAAATGCTTCCTTCTATCAGTCTACATTTGGTGTACAGTGTCAATGATCTGATCTTGCATATATCAAAAATCATGTAATTTTCACCATGCCATAATTCACCATTCCAACCATGATGACTCAAGCCCAGGGATCAGTGTGATGAATTGGTGGCTAGAACGAGTGCTTCAACTGGTTGTTGATGACTCCAATGAGGCTTCCGTAGAGATGAAAACAGATTTAAGAAGGAATACAGAATCATCACTAGTAAAATAGAGCAAGTATAAAAAAATTCTGCAGTTTTGCTTTAGTTGCCTGTACAATTTCAGATGAGTACTGCATTATGGTGGAAATCTCCACAATCATATGGCAAGTTGCATGATTTTGAAGATTTTTGTCCAAAATATATTTTATTCATTCTATTTTTAACAGTATATTACATGAAATACAAATTTACAGTTACATACAGGCAACATGTACAGTTTCAGGCAACATGGATAATATTGTTTCAATGCAGTATATCTGGAACCCCACTGTACATGCCATCATATTCTTTAATATTTTATTATGGGATGTAAATGTTGCTAGCTAGACCAGCCTTTGTCACCGATCTCCAATGTCGTTGAGAAAGCAGGGGACATTGAGGGATGGAGTGGGGAGGAGGGGAGTGGACAGAAATGAAGCGTCTAGGAGGACGGGCAATAAGAAGGTAAAGGGATTGGGGAGAGGGGGAAGTGAGAGTTGGGGCAGGGGTGTGCAAGTCTTTTAAACGTTGTAACTGTACCCACATCCACCACTTCCTTTGGGAGTTCATTCCACATATGTTTTGTCTTGTAAAAAAGTAACCACTCATGTCTTTTTTAAAAATCTTTCTCCTCACACCTTAAAAATATGCCCCCTCATCTTCAGGGAGGGAGGGTTGAGGGGTGGTGGGGCATGGGGGTAAAGAAGTGGTGGGGGATGGGGTAAAGAGATGGATAGGGGTGAAGAGGTGGTGGGGGATGGAGGAGAAGAGGTGGTGGGGGATGGAGGAGAAGAGGTGGTGGGGATGGGGGTAAAGAGGTGGATGGGGGTGAAGACGTGGTGGGGGATGGGCGAGAGGTGGGAGATGGAAGAGAGGTGGGGGAATGGAGGGATTGGGGGTAGAGAGGCAGAAGGGAAGAGGTGGGGGAATGGGGAGAAGTGTGGTGGAGAAGAGATGTGGAGGAGAAGAGATGGGGGCATGGTAGGGGAGAGATGTGGAGGAGAAGAGATGGAGGCATGGTGGGGGAGAGATGTGGAGAAGAGATGGAGGCATGGTGGGGAAGAGATGTGGAGGGGGAGAGATGGGGGCATGGTGGGGGAGAGATGTGGACGGGGAGAGATGGGGGCAT